GTCACATTTGAAAACATTTTATGGTCAAACAAATTATATTCACCTCTAGCATTCATTTTAGACGTTAACCAAAACATTACAGCTCTTAAATGTTAAAAGAAATGTTCAAAGATAGAGTTATTACCTAGACTAACATAACTCAGATGATTACGTACTTGTACATATTTTGTATATTAGTAGTAGTACATCATCTGATGCATGGATCCAAGAAATTAATGCCCATTTAGAAATATGGGATCTTTCTTTTGGTTGTACTTATGCACTGTAGACTAATTTGAGAAATGTGTTAAGGTCAATAGGTTATAGGGGTTCTGACTGTTGATTGTGAAAATAATTCTGTTCCTCATTTTTTCTGCTCTGTGTACATCTACTGCTGTGTTCTTGTCCTTTGTTGAGTTCTCATATTAGTAAGTGCCTGCTGTGTATATAGGTAGGGACCAAGTCTACCCCTTGTCAGGTTACAATATCATGCAGTCACTTGTAAAAAATCAACTTTTAAATGTTCTGTTTTCTATTTGTTGTACAGTGGTTGAATCAGTTGGTCTTTTTATTAAAAATCTATATCAAACATTTCTAACAAAGGCTGTTTGTTTGATGATTGATTGGTTGTTTGTGTGTGTGTTTGTTTGTTTGTTAGGTCATTTGATATCTGTAACTTAGAATTACATTATAATATAATGATAACTTGAAAATGAGTTCGGGATCAATTTTCCTCATTTTGAATAACTCTTAGTCAGCGGTTAGTAATTCCTCTTTAAATTGTTGACTTAGCTCCCAAGTTGTCAATTCAGGAATAATCCAATTGAAATTAATGGGTTTCATTCTTCTGTTCTATAAACAATTATTCAAAATCAGTTACCGGATTCTGTGATCTTGAGCTTATAATCCAATGGATTAAGTCTGGAGAAGCTTTATATTTAAGCCTTGGTTTTTATTAAAGAGAAGTATTCAATAGTTTCAAAAGTTTCCTTGGTTTGTCTATAATTTATTATTAGCAAACCAGGCACTCATTGGTATCAACAGGTCAAGTGACTAAAATCTTTTTTATGTATGAACCAGTCTGTACAAAGACTTCTGATATGTTCCATAAGGTGGCCGAGTCTGGAGTAGAATGACTAAGCTGACTTCAGTATGGATATTTAATTTTTCAATTTATTAAGCCAAATGAATCACCAAGTCCCTGTTCTGTATCATCCCCATTCTCTCTTACCTGAGGAAGAAAGAGAATAGTAAGTTTTATATATAGTGGGCCTAATCAAAAGGTTGTGTTCAATTCTGTAGATTCTTTCCCTATGTCAGTGACAGTGTTTATTTATTGCGTGTGTTGTGCTAGATTGTGTATGCTGTCATCATCTACTACTCTCAACTCATCAATTGTGCGTCTATTGTCATTGGGGCAGATGTTCTATTGTCCTTTAGTCTCATGGAAAACCTGAAGTATCACTTTAATACTCTGCACTTTTAAACTGTTAAATGAAGCTTTTCAAAGCGTGATACTGAATTTTATATGTTTCATGTTTTTTAACCCGTACGACAATTGAGTTTGAATATGACATGGTATGCTTTGACTGTCACATTAATTGTATTACAGGTAGTACAGAGTTTAATTAAAAGTCACATATGCACAATCAAATCATATCCATACAGCCACTGTCTCAAATTTAAAAAACTCTAATGCTGTTTTCAATAGCTCAAATAAAAATATGCAACCTTTCCTACCATTTTTAGAAATTACAAGATTTTGATTTTTCTTGAGTAGATAATGTACATTATGCAAACGTTGACATGTGTCACCCTGTTAACAACAACCACCAATGCTCATTCCAAAACTAATTACCTAATTGATATACTTATGATTGAAATACATGTAAAAATATCATTTTAGACAGATATTTAGAGCATTTGCTACCTAGTGTATTTCATCCGAGTTCTAAGAATGATTGAGAGTTTCTGGACCAACAGGTGATGTAGGGTTGATGTTTTTAAAGAGAGGTTACGGTCCTATGAGCTGTGGTCATAATTGAGACCTGGAGTCAGTTGTAGGTGTTTTAGAGAGCTCACCTGTTAGAGGTGTTGAAAGAATGACATATGGTGTGGTCAGTCATTGAGCAAACAGCAAGGTTACAACCAATAAACATATGGTAGATAGCAGTTTTAGATAATCAATGTCTATTGAATCATCATAATCTGCAAGATAATTTGATCAACATGTTTAGTGAAAACAAACCAAATACTTTTTTCAAACATAACAGTACTGATCCTTTATTTTGGATGACATCTGCACTCAGTCAGGTGCCTTGATTTATCGTTGATTTAACCATAATGAGGCTTATTTCTGACCCGTATCGAGCCGCTATGGGTGTGCAGAGGAGCAGTGTGACACCATAGTATTTGGTCTATAAGTGGTCAGCGTGAGGCAGGTGGGACGTTATACTGGGACGTGTGCCCATTGTCATCCCAGATAAACAATCTTCATTCAAACTCATAAAATTTTAATGTTGGTTTCCATAAGTGTGCTGGCATCCCATAAGTTCACTCTGACCAATCTAATGCTCTGTATAAGATACTTTTTCACATGGATAGCGCCTAACAAAGAACCCCCTTGCACAAATTTTCACAATTATCATGTCTATTTCAAGCCATTCTTTCTTTGATTTATATAAAATTATTTTCTTGATTTTCTTTACTATAACGTTTAAACAATTCTGATCAAACCCACTCTAATCCTTGACAATTCCCTTATTTGTCATTTTATGCTTGACTGTGATGAAATTTTGTAAGTAGATCTCTGGTTTGACCCAATGGCCTTCAAGACAATGGCTATGCATTAATTCAGTGGCTCATGGCCAGAAGGAGGTAACCACATAGTGGTAGCATCACCTGTTGTTTCAAAATTCTAGACCTTTGTAAATCCTACCAAGCACATTGCTGATATGGAGAAATCCTAGCCAGGAGACATAAGTACAAAAGACAAAGATGATATTGATTCTGTATGTCTCCCTTCTTTCTTTGTATTAAGATGCCTCTGAAAGAGATGGAATAGATGGTAGTTAATTTCTTCCTAATTTGTAGAAACATCTTTTTTGCAATACAGAAAACGGGAAGAGTGTTATAATAGAAAGCTGATCTCTCTAAATGACCATGTTAGATTTTCCAACATTTTTAATTTTCCAGGAAGTCATCTGGATGTAGTTTTATTTGTTACATAAAGCATCCATGGTGGATTGTTGATAATTTCCTTTGTCAAATTGATACTTTATTTCCAAGAGTTGTAGTCTATTTAGAAACTGTTTGTTCAAAATGTTTGTCACAATATGTCAGTGCTAGATTAATTACTTGGTAATATGTAAAGTAAACATGAAGTTCCTGTGGAGTGTGCCACTGCCATCAGTGAAAACTTCAGTCAACCTAGCATAACAATAGCTTTGGATGAACACCCAAACAAGACAATATTCCTCACAATCAGAGCTGTTTAGTCTTTCATATAAACCTCTCTTGATTGTGTCTGTTGATATGAGAATGGTTAACTCTATGTAGTAGACTTAACTTCCAAGATGTCAAATACAGGTGCGATTTTGGTTTTGTGTATCAGGAATAATTCTGGAGACAAAGTCAGGCTTTTCTTTCACTGGTAACACCTAATGATAATGTCCCATCTTTAGGATTCATTTCTTAAAGAGTTCAAAATCTGGTTGGCAGTTAGCTTGAGAGATGATGTTTCATTGGTCACTGTAGCTGCAGTAGTAATTATCTCTGGAGGGAAAGTATCAGGTGATGGTTCATAGTAATTCAGGTAGTAAGACGTGTGCCTGAGAATTGATTATTTCGTTTATGACAAAGGTGTCTGTGGTGTAAGGAGCGTTTTGAATTTCAGTTGGAATACAATATTCTTACTCGAGACAGACAGACAAGAATAAGTTTTTGATCAGTTAGGGCACCCACAAATGGATACTTTTCTACAAAATGTAAGTATGAGACATACAAAGATTCTAGATTTACTAATACTATCAGTACATACTTTGAAAAAAGTTTTCAAAATTATATTTTAACTTAAAAACAGGTGAATTATTTTCTGAAGCATGCTGATTATAACATTGATCATTAGTCATCTGGGCAATCTATCACCCCATGTTTTGGCAAAGTATAACTTGATCAGTTTCTTAAGTTGGGATATGACAAAACAGTGATGTTTAAGTGATCTGTGTTCGCTCTTTTAAATGGGTTAGTTCTGCATGATGGCCAAACTGCCATTCATGTAACAAATCTTAAATAAGAAGATTTCAATCAGTCATGTGTAATCTTTTTGCTTGTTACGCATGTTTTATTAGTTAGGAGAAATGCCAGATTTAGTTGAACGTGTTGAAGGTAAGGAAAAGTAAAGGTCAAATAACTGAAAATTTTGAGTTAAGATAAGTTTGAATCTACCTTGCTTTAAGCATATTACCTAAGGCTTACCTGAAACTTGTAACATCATTAGGAGTTGAACATACATGTATCAATCATAACTCGTTAGCTAAGATACTTGGAGAATGTATTTAGTTTACTACAGGTTATGGTATCTTATATGAACATCAATCTTCTATATTAGAGTACATGAACTAGAATCAAGAAGGATTATTATTATTAGAGAGCTCAGAAGAAATACTCACAACTTGTCAGATTTAGGTAATGTATTGTATGTATGTAAATCCATGTATCAATATGGGATAATAAGGAAATGTTTATAAATTTTGTTTGTATTTTGGATTAATTCCTTGTATGACATTGGTAGTGATGTAATCATGTCAGACTTTGAGTCATGTATTTCTGGAAATCACCTGCTGAATCATTTATCTAATGTGGAAGAAACTGTCAAAGAAGTTCCAGTTTTTGGTAGATTTTCATTTTCAGTTTTTATTAAAGATTCTACCATCGAGGAATCAATGATGAAATGATCTCTCTTGACTCTTGTGTTTAATTGTAGGCTATAGATGTTGATGTATTTTATTTGTATTTTGCAGGCCTAATGTAAAGACTATCATATCACAACATTGCTATAAGGGCCATCCTGGAGGCAGCAAAATGTCTTGGGACCCCAACGCCAGCATGTCCTTTACCTGTAGCAAGGGCCTCACCAACAAGCCTGGGGAGAACAACTGCTTCCTCAACAGTGCTGTACAGGTAGGTGCTGTTCGTCTTAACAGTGTCAAACATGTTGTCTTACTTAAATTATATTGGGACATTGGGTAACTCTGTCTAAATCTCTATGCTGATGTTTCATTGTTTAAGAATGGGTATGGGCAATATAAGGGTTTGATACAATATTCTCAAACAGGCTCTGGCCATATATGTCGTGAGAAATTCAGTTTAGTGACAAGTCAAGTTTCTTTTGCCTGCCTGGAGAAGAAAGATAGGTTGGTGTTGTTCATGTTACAAGACCTGAAGTGTCAGTACCACATTTCATGCTATTAAAACACTGGCCTTTTTCCTACTCCATATTTTGCCTGTGAAATCAGACAGGTTGTGTTATTCGTCTAGCAAAATGAAATTTTTTGTGAAATCAGACAGGTTGTGTTATTTGTCTAGCATGCAAAATGCAATTTTTTAAGAAATCATGTAAACGGTGCAAATTCAAATCCTTCATGAACGGCATCAACTTCTCCACAGGATACAAACGGAAAAACTATTGTTTTATAACGTCTTATTGAAATATGCATTATTCAGTACTGTATTCATGAAAAATCAATTTTCCAATTTCCATATATTATATCGAAATGATATTGAAACGTTCAGATTTCTCACCATTGTTATACTATAGTGTAATTTATAGTCTCTATGGAGACCTAGAAAATAACCTCAGGACTAGCACTGATGATGGTAATTTAGGCTAAAATGATAGACTAGAGACTCAATTAATATCATTATAATTTAGGTCCGATAGGATACGATGTTAAAAAAAGGTTCATTCAGTCGCATAAATACTCAGAAAATTTGAATTTCATTTTTTATGTCAAATACATATCATGTCAGTTTAATATCAAGACAAAATCAACTTTCTCTATTATTTCTCACGTGAACTTGCATCTAAATTATATTCAATGCAAGGATGAGCTTTTCAAAATTGTTTTATTTGAAAAACAACTTGAAAGTGAAACTGTCAAGAACGTGATGTGAACTCTATTCGAAGATTAAATGTTAAAAAAACATAAATTGTTGGGATAACTGTATTCTGTAGTTCTGGGTGAGTTGCTTCGAATGAAAACTCCATAGGATGGTGGGATGGTATTTCAAATAGATCACAACTATTACACACCTTGTATTCAACATAAAGTAACATTATGCTCTCTTTTCAGCTGATCATTTCCCATTGCTTTCAGTAGATGCAAAAATCCATCCTCCAATTACCATTTTCATATTAGATGCTATTTTTATGTCACTCATTAAAAGAATTCTGAATGATTATTTTTTGAGTAATGGACAGTGATGCTAATTCCTGAATCCTCATGTAATCTTTGCTTCATATGGATTTTGAAATGCGATTAGCATCATGTAATCAGATTGATATGTGAAATTACAGCTTATTTTGGGCTTTGGAATTTTATGTAATCTTCTAACTCAGTGTGTATGGAATCAGTGTTGCATTCCATGAAATCTACCTGCTCATCAGTAACATACCAGTCTAAGTTTGGTTGATGTGAAAGGGTTGGGTTGAGTGGGGGGGGGTTATCACAATAGCATCTAGAGCTTTTATACTCTTTTACATAGCAAAGAGAGTGTATGATAGCCTGATAGGTCTGAGTGGGGTTCTATATTTTCATTTTTATCATCCAAATATATTAAACATTTTCCGAAGATGAATTAAAAATTTAATTGTGGTGACATAACAGCCATAGTGACATAGCAGTCACAGTGTCGTAACAGTTTAGGGGTCACTCACTACTCACATTCTAATCTAATAATCACGAATGATACTATTTCAGAGAATCTTCAGTGGCAAATATGGGTTGTTTTTTTCTTCAGGTCATGTCAGTTTTATGCCTTTAGGTCTTGATATCATATTGTACATCAAGAAAATATTTTCTCAGTTTTGTTTTGATCTCTTCATGTGATGTATATTCAAGAATAAGTGAAAGTTAATGGTGGCAAATACAGCAGTAAATAATAAAACTTGAGTTTGTCAACATTGGGTGTATGAGTATAAGGTACAGTGACATCTCTTCAACAATATTTATTGTGGTAAAATATATTTCAAAGTTGAAACGTTTGGGTGGATCATTAGATATTTTGGGGCTGATCATGTTTTGATCCAGAATAATGAGTTAAATAATCACTCATCACACCATAATCTCCCTTCCGTGATATACCATGTGGAAGTTGTGAGTAGAGGGTAGACTGGTAGAAAGTTTTGCTCTACCCCCAGGTATACCTTATCTAATTGCTGCCTCTTGTTAAACTGAGGCCAGGAGGAACAGAACTTACTGCATTTAATGATATACTTCATTATTCTTTGAGTAATTATCCCATCGAACGAAGTTCGGAGGGATATAGGGAACGCCTCCGTCCGTCCGTCCGTCCGTACGTACGTACGTACGTACGTCCGTACGTACATCCGTCCGTATGTCTGTCCGTCCGTCCGTCCGGGCAATAACTCAAATACCGTTGGCCCGATTTTGTTCATATTTTGTACACATATACCCTATGGGGGTAGAAGTTCTGCTAAAAAGCCGATTTTCAAAATGGCCGCTCATTTAAAAATGGCGGCCATTTTAGTGCCGATTTTACAGTAATTTAGGTGCAATATGGAAAACTGTGATAGCATTATGTTTTAAATGTAAAAAAATTATATAGGGCATTGATAAAGCTAGAAATGTAGAAATTAAAATAGCACATGGCAGCCATCTTGAAAAATGGCGGCCTTTACTCGTTATTTTACGATTTTTGCTGTAACTCAAGAAGTATTGGAGCGATTTTGTTCATATTTAGTATGTGAATACTATAAGCATGGCTCACTGTCTAATGTCACTTTTGGTAGGAGGAGGCCATTTTGAAAATTTGCCGCCATTTTGAAAAATGGTCGCCATTTTAACATATTTTACTTTAACTCAAAAAGTAGTGGAGCGATTTTGTTCATATTTGTTTTGTGAATACTATAAGCATGGCACACTGTCTAATGACATTTTTGGTAGGAGGCGGCCATTTTGAAAAATGGCCGCCATTCTAACGTATTTTACTATAACTTGAAAAGTAGTGGAGTGATTTTGTTCATATTTGGTATGTGAATAATATAAGCATGGCACACTGTCTAATGACACTTTTGGTAGAAGGCGGCCATTTTGAAAAATGGCCACCATTTTAAAGTATTTTACTGTAACTCGAAAAGTAGTGGAGCGATTTTGTTCATATTTGCCATGCGAATACTATAAAAAAAGTATATTACTCCTGATGACAAAAAATGGAATTTGAAAAATGGCCGCCATTTAAACGTATTTTACTCGGCCTTTACTCGTTATTTTACGATTTTTGCTGTAACTTGAAAAGTAGTGGAGCGATTTTGTTCATATTTGGTATTCGAATACTATTAGCATGGCACACTGTCTTATGACACTTTTGGTAGAAGGCGGCCATTTTGAAAAATGGCCACCATTTTAAAGTATTTTACTATAACTCGAAAAGAAGTGGAGCGACTTTGTTCATATTTGGCATGTGAATACTATAAAAAAGCATATTACTTCTTCTGATGACAACTTTCGTATGTGTGTTATTTTATGATATTTGCTATATATTTCGTTTGTAAAAATGCCAGCTATTTCTGTTCGATGGGATTCGCTACGCTTTGGCGTTGCCGTTGTTCTGGTTGATATGTTGCATTATAAATTGTGAAAAGTAATGTGAAACAGTCCCCTGATATGGTTTGCTGGAGAGTATTTGCTTCTTTGATGTTGCTCCATGGATAACATTTATAAAATACTTAAGATAGAATTATATTGCTACGAATTGAAAATAGCAGGTGAAAGCTTACCTAAATTTTTGCAATTTATGAGAAATAGAATGCAGACTTTGTAAGAAATTATTACCACCTCTAAATGAAAGGGATGAAAGCACACTTCTTAGCTGCTAAGACACTATAACCTCACTTATAGCACACAGTCTGAAAGCCTTATAAGTGTGACTCTCAGTTTGAAAAATATTATATTGAGGCCTGGCATGACCCTTTTTCAAATAACTACAACGTGCAATTTGTATTTTGTGGTTGTATTGAGATGTTGGCAAAGTTATTTACATCAATTCAGTGTTTTCTAAAATAGGTAAAACGCCTTTGTTATTTAAGTTAAACAGACATTCTTATACGTGACATAGGCTTAGTGCTTTTTACAACATGGTGATCATAGAAAATTACATTTATTTCTTGAGGTGAAAATAGTCATATTTGGCTGGTATATTTAATTTTTTCATTTGATCAATATAGTTTTTCAAATTTCATACCTCAAAGATATTTGTACAATGCATTTATCAACGATTTTTATTTGTATAACCTAAGAAATGAGAGCATTATAACTTAGAAGGCCCTTATGGCTCATTTTTGAGGGGCCTTGTTCACCCCTTACATAATGTCATTCAGCCATGGGCCAATATATTCCATGGTTAGGTCACAGATAATGAGTATCAGGACACCATTGGTGTTTCCATGGAAACAAACCAGATGATACATTTATTGAGCTAGCTAATGTTAACAATTATTCTCTAACTGTTAACTTCACACAGAAATGTAACCAGTTATACCACAGTGGCCAGGTGTAAAATTCAAACATACATCCTATCTGGGTCATAAAAAACCTATTGGAGCCATCTGGGACTATCTGTTCTCCGTTAAGTAGTAAACATAACTGTATGTTTATGTCAGCAGAGTATAAACAGGATGTCCAGCAAAGAACTGACATGTAGCTTGCTTCCTCTCAATCTGATCCACCTATTTAAGTTAATATTTTCTAAATATACTCACTGACGAGTCTGGTAGTCTATTTATGACATGTGGAATGTTCATTATTAGTTCTTCTTTTCAATTTGGAGTGTGTAAAATGCATAATTATTACCGGTACTTTTGTAATAAATTTTACATTGAACGTTTTAATTGGCTTTGTCCAGTACACTGTACATGTATATTGAACAATATTTTTAATTGA